GCGCCCCAAGCACTAATTCGAGGATTCCTGGTATGCTTCGTTAGATCAAGGGCATGTGCTAAAAGCTGCTGTTCTCAAACTTGATAGAAACAGTGAACTTACGATTCGTGAGCTGTTGGTTTACTGATCATGTGAGCCAAGACAATTTACATTTTGATTAAATCATGCAAAATAAACAAATCATAAAGTGAAATTCCTTTCTTTCTCTTGCTGTTGTTCCCAAATTAAAAGAAATACAAAAGTAACATGATTCTTTGTGTCTGTATTGACCTAATTATAGAAAGAATTGTGAAAGTTTAGGAGAACTCAAGAAAACAGTCTGTTGCAGCATTTCTTGTCCCAATTTCAACTGTGAAACACAGACATTGCATGGTCTATTAATTAATATTTATGAGCGAAATTGATTTTTTTTGGCTGTGTCCATCATTTGGATGATCATAAATTATCTGATTTTTACAGACACAGACTCTTAATATTTATATTGAAAAACACTCTGCAGGACCTGAAATTTAATGATAGTGACAGAATTGACTTGTAGGTCAGAGCTTAACTGAGAGGATATTAACAATTATACCATAATAATGTTAATAATAATTTATTACAAAATACATCACGTACAAATTATGGATTCTAATAAATATTCTGAAGTAATCTGAAATATGGTTTTGAACTAACCTTTCAGAAATTAAAGGGCTGTGTTTGACTAACTGGAGACTGGGGGCAGCAGAATCAACTTGCAAGTCATTAACTATACTGTGAAGATATAATCATCAAATAAATAATTATAATCAAGAAAGCAGTCTGTCTCAGCATTTCTTGTTCCAATTTCAACTGTGAAACACAGACACTGCACAGTCTATTAATTAATATTTCTTACTTATTAAACGTTCAGGGTCAAATTGCAAAAATATGTGTTGATCCAGAAAATATCCCTAACCCCGCTTATACCTCTCCCAAAGAGGGTTTTTGGTTCAACCCTCTCACCCCTCCCAAAACCTCTGGAAAATCAAGTACTGTTTTGGTTCAATACTTTCCCTCCTGGCGTGATCAATTGATGACAACCTATCATCAGAGATCCAATTGATCAATCAATAACAATCAATAGCCATTACTTAATTGCTATCCATCACCATCGGCCAATTGATGACCAATCGATAATTACAAGCTTGAGTCCTCAGTTACCATCGATTATTCATTGACTATTGTTTGCTGTCAAGCAGATTGTTATTGATCAAATCTCAATCAATAATCCACCCGTGGGGTTAATTCAGTTCTGGTCGTGGTTGCATACGTGCCTGGTGACTTTTCCTCCAGTTTACACACTCAGACAACCTAGGGAAATATGGGCTCATCCTCGGTGTAAGAACCTGAAACACTCATTCATTCACTCATTCATTCTGTTTATTTTGCCTTTTTACTTAATGTACAGTATTTGTGAACATTTTAATGTGAGGCGAGGTGACCTCTAGAAACCATCAGGCTTTTAGTTGAGGCCACCTCGTATGTAACAATACAGTTACATAAATAGTGCAACAGTGTGTGGCTTTGCCAGTTCAGTAATTATTTTACTAAAAACTCTAGCAGTTTTTTCTTAAAATTGGGAAAACTTGACAATGAAGTGATTGTAATGGGAAGGGAATTCCAGATCTTTGGACCTTGGTAAAGAATTGTGAACGTTTTTAACATTAGTCCGGCAATGATGCATGCAATAATTATTGGCTGTTCTGGTGCTATAGCCATGACTTTGAATGTTTGGAAAAAACAAGTTGAAAAACAATGGAGGCAACAGGTTCCTACGATAATAGTACATAAATTTAGCTATTTGAAATGTGTTGATTTGATAAATTTCCAAAATTCCTAATTTGGAGAATAAAGGAGCAGAATCTGCTTTATAATCTGAATTGGTAATAGCTAGCACAGCCCATTTTTGCAAAAAAACATTCACCAGTACATCACTCACCAGTGACGTAAAACAAAGGAAACAAAGAAGTCAACTTAATAGACCCTAACCCTAACAATAGGCACAAAACAAATAAAAACTTTACAGGTTCTTACATGTACCGCCCGAGGTAAACCTGAAATTTTGACTATCTAACAGATGGTAGTTAAGGGGTACCATGAATGCCCATTTGCTGTCGATGATGGTGAGCGATTTGTTGCTCAGAAGAAGAAAGTGATCCATATGATATATGATCGTGGTCAACTGGGTCACCTCCAAAGGGATTTAGTAGCACCACTCTGGCCTTTAAAACACAAAATTTTAGTGTAAGTTGTATCATTTTCCTAGTCCTAGTTGTGGGATAGTATCCTTGCTTTTTATTTCTTCTGGATATGATATTTAAAAGTATCTGTTCATTTTGGTAGCATTGTGACAGGAAGCCCAATTAATGATGTCAAAGGAAGATGATGTCCTGGAAAAGGGATAAACATGCCCGTGAGGATAGAAATTACTTTACCAAAGAAACAAGCCAACGGAATAATTATGGGGTACGCTGCTATCTAGCAGGATTAATGCACAGATATTGGAACTTTAATACATGACCAGGATAATGATTTCTTCGCGTTGTAAAGGAATCTCTATGGCAATTGATGATAATGAAAATCAATGGCAATTAAAAAACACAACTTTCTGGACCATATATTGGTCATTGATTTCTGATATCAACTGATTAATTGTCATTGATTGTCATTGATTGCCATCGATTGTTATTGATTATCAATTTCATTGATTGATCACAGTGGGTTTCCCTGAGTGCCAGTACAGTACTGTAATTCTGGATCAAACTAACCTTTAAGAAAGGAATTAAAGTGAGTGAAATTCACAAACTAGAACCTGACAGCGTCACAAAGTACTGTGAAGATATGAAGGAAAATAATATTTAATGACTTGCAAGTCATGAACTTCAATGTAAATTATACATCAAATTTATACAGTCATTCCGTGTTTACTTAATGTATTAAGAGTAAATGTCAATAGAGATCAAAAACCTTTAACATCGATCTGAACTGGAAAACTAATTACAGGACAGGTTTGAAACAGGGTATTGTCAATAAGGGTCAGGTCTTAAATAGAACATCAAATTTTATGGTCAGGTCATAAATAGGGTAGGGGAAATCGCAGAGTTTGGTAAAGGTTTTGGGAAGTGGGCCGCACACCCCCACCCAATTTTTCTGGGAATACCCCCTACCCCCAGGTTCTTAAGGAACACCATATTAGTATTATTATCCTTCCTAAACCATTTTCCAAGCATTCACCGTGCAGGGGAGATATATAGTGATATCCCAGATGTTTGTTGGTGTTTGGAAACAGGCATGCCTCACTAAAATAAGTTCAACTTCAGTTCCACATCCACCGAACTTCAGCAATTTTTGTAGCATGCCGATAATCCATGACATTTTTGCTGCAAGGTATGTACCAGAAGATACAAGTGGCAGTATCGGACGAGATTGAATCGTTTATTGTGGATCAGGTCCACATACTCATCCGACCAAATGTGAGAAGTCATGTTTGACAAAGTTTTATTGTTTTAGCTACGCAATGTTAAGAGAAAATTTTCTGAAAAAGTTCTCAAAGGAAATTGATAGCTCATATAGTTACACTTCACAGTGTCATGCAAACAGATAAAACAACAATACTGTTACTAGAAGAGTTGTAATCTAGTATATGTGTACTTTCAGATAAACATTGCACACATATAACTAAATTAATAAAACTTGAACATATCCTGCTTATTAAAATATGAATAAGCAAGATTCCACATGCCAGTGAAACTGATCTTTGGAGAAGCGTGCTGACAATCTGCTATATTTACACAGGTTGTTTCACACACTAAAATTAATTAATTGTTTGATCAGGTTTTGTCATGGAAAACAGTTTTTATGGACTGTATACTCTGGAAAGTAAAAATAACATAACTGAACTGCCCAGAAAGGAGATTTGCGACCGAAACAGAACTTTGGAAGAATATATCAACTTAACGCAACTTCATGCCACAGCAGCCAGCAAATATCTTGTGTAAGTAAATTGAATGACAGTTCTCATGTACACAAGCAAAAATCTGTAGAGTCTACCTCCAATTTAATAAATTTTCTAGATAAGACAGAAATGAAGTCTCATCTTAATTTAGCTTAAGTATCATATTTCAATTTTGAATGTACTTTTCAGCAGGCAATCAATACAAAGTTTTTTCTTGATGGTCAGCTTAGTTGTAACTTCAATATGGCAGCTGCAGCAAATCTCAAAAATAAGCGAACTTCAAACAAGGGTTACCACAAAACTAGAAGTAGACTGTGAGCAGTCTCCCTTTTCCTCGAAAATCTGTGGGGAAGAATGTGAAAGAAGAAAGTGTGCAAGCGTAACATGCAAGCAGTGATCCTGTGAGCTACTAGTACATGTAGCATGGGCATCGGAAGATGAGAAAGAGAGACTGCACTGGTTTCATACAATGATTTGGATACTACATGTACTTTGACAAGTTGCATCAATGACACCTCCGACATGTTTTGAAAATCACAACCCTGAGTGTGTGCCTGGTATTTTACTTGAATCTATCAAAGCTATATCTGGCTTGGTCAAATGGCTCTACTCCTTGAAGTCCTCCTAATATCACAGTTGTTCAAAAACAAGTGTGAAGCATAAAACTAATATGAAAGTCGCAAGATCGAAATTCCAAATAGAGCGGCAAATGTCATGAGCCGTAGGAGACAAACATTACAACAGAGCTTTGACAAGTGCTGCATGTCACTTATAATGGTTACTGACAGATGTGCGTCACAACTTCAAATTTGTAGACTGACCAATAGGATCACTCCATCACCAGAGTGCCGGGCTTCCCAATCATTGTATGAAACCAGTGCAGTCTCTCTTTTTTGCTAGACTGACGCCCATACTATTAGTGGCTCATGGTATTGCTGCTCACACATCACACTCACACGCTTACTTGTTTTGCATTTTTCCCACGGTTTTCGAGAAAAAGAGCGACTATTGGCAGTCTAAACTAAAAGGTATCCCAAAAAATTGCAATCACTTCTGTGAACATCTATCTTTAAACTGTATCTGCAATATTAATAGTTATTGGGTTTTTCTTTGCGTACCGACAAGTGTTTTCAGCTGTTGTTTTAGGGTACCACAGAGCTATAATTAAAAAACAGCTGCAAGGTGTCTTCCAGAAAAAATTCATAAAATATTTATAACTAGTAAGAGAATATCTGCCTTTCATAACGCCAATGAATTGGTCAAGGTTTAATCACAAAGGAAAATTCAAAGATAATTTTCGACTTACGCTGATGAGCCATGGACATGACAGAATTTTGATAGTTTGAATATCGAAATTTGGCTTGATCCAGACTCAACGGTTTTTATTTAATTACACTAAAAAAAAAGTAAATGCTAAAACAAACTAACCTTGTTTTGTTTACTTTGGCACAAGGGTCTATCAACTGATATACAGGTAGAAAGTATGAGTGAAATCGAATCTTTTGCTGCGTAAATTGCGATTTTGATGATTAAATCTGATTTTTACTGACACTGACTCTTAATATTCAAATTGAAAAACATTCTGCAGGACCTGAAAATGATAGTGACAGAATTGACTTGTAGGCCATAATGTAATTGAGAGGATATTAATAATAATACCATAATAATATAATAATTTATTACAAAACAGATCATGTACAAATTATGGATTCTAAATATATATTCTGAAGTATCTGAAATAACTATAGTTCTGAACTAACCTTTGGGAAATTGAAGACCTGTGTTTAACTAACTGGAGACTGAGGGCAGCAGAATCAACTCGCAGGTCATAAACTATACTGTGAAGATATAAATATCAAATAAATAATTATAACCACACATCATATACTGATTGTACAAGTTACAGGTACAAATTATGGTATTAAATATTCTCCAAGATCTGAAAATCAACGTAGCTTGATGGTCAGACTAACCTTTAAGAAGCAGTTGGGCGAGTAAACACACTGACTGACGCTGTATATTCAGATGGTGAAGAATTGACATGAAGGTGGATTGTCCTGTGCAGATCAACAAAAAAACATTTAGAACTTAGCAACTCAACAAATGCATTTAAGCAAATAATTATCCAAATTGTAAGCATGCATGTTCCCAGATAACCGATAAACTGTATAAACTATGAACTGAAATAATTATTTTACTGCAGTGTGAATGCAAAAACAGAATTTACCTTGTAGATAGGCTTAATCAAGGGAGAATATCTTGACTTTACTTAATTTTACAGCCAACTGGCCAGGATGTCAATTTCATGCAGCAGGAGGGGGGGGGGGGGGAAANATGGTGACTGAGTGCTTGTCTCCCACTCGTGTAGCCTAAGTTAATTTGAATCCTGGGCCTGGCATCACATGTGGGTTGAATTTGTTGTTGGCTCTCATTGCTGGTTGTTGTTGTTGTTGGTTTTCCCTGGGTTCTCTAAGAATGTTTTCTCTCCTCCTCACAAGCCTGAACACTTAAAATTCTCTCATGCATGCACAAAAAAGTCAGCGTTGTACTCCTTCAAATTGACAGTAAAGTGTGTACAATTCGGCCAGCTTCCTTCCCCTGCCAACTTGTTTTGAAGGGAGAAGGAAGAACAGCTTGACTCCAACACTGACTGCATTCTAGCTTGTTGCATGGAATTGTGAATTAATAAAATCATTTGCAGAAACCAACATGCTGATAAACATATCCTAGAACACGCACCCTCGCTAATAGCACTGAAATGCTTTAGGTTACATTAAGTCATAAACTTGGGTCTTTCCAATAAGCACTTGATATTTAATCTTACCAAAAAGACCTGAATATTTAATGACTTGTTGACAGAGCTCCAAGACGGTATTATTATGAAAAAATTTAATAATTTTTATTACATTAGTTAGCCGTGAATAACATCTGTCAGGGATCTGATATGATATCATTCACTGGGGAATGATACGATTTCGCTTTCTGGGCTTGTATTGCCCTACCAAATGCAAATAGTCATAAAAAATTAAATGCCTAATAGTTGTCAGAGCAATCGGGTTTCACGTTATATTTTAGCTCACACCAACTTTGACGTGAGAACTGACTTGCTAAATTCCAGTTTTTGAATGAAATGGCAGCTTTGGTGAGATTCTTAAAGCCTCTGAAGATGACATTTCCTGTTTTATTTAAGAAACTAAAAACAAAAATACTGAGCAAAAACAAATCAAGAGGGCTTTATAAGGCTAAATTAAGCTGATAATTAGCTGTGTGAACTTTTGCTCTTTTGGAAGCTGTTTGCACACTAGGAAATGAATTAATTAAACTACGCTGACTGTTGTCATGTTTTTATGAATATTATATCTAATAAACAAATTATAACTTGTTGAGCCTGATATTGTTTTATTCACTCCTTGATAATACTCATATCACTCACTCACTCACTCGATTTAAATGCAATTTTACTGTCACGTCAGTAAAATATAGTTAATGGAACGTGACGCTCGTAATCAGTAAGCC